GAAATAAGAAGAGATGAGGAGTCATATGATGAGAGGCACCAGCGTCAAAAATCCAGACAGACGAAGAGATACTTGCACAAGACCCAAGCAAACCGGAATGAAAAGAGAAAGCAACTAAGGCAGACGGAAAGAGCTGGAAGGTAGACAATATATGCAAAAGCTAAGCAATCGGAGCACTCAAGGAAGCCAAGTCAGGATCAAGGACCAGAGTAGATGCAGTATAAGTGGCGGGAGCTTGAAAATTACTCGAAGGAGAAGAGTAAAACTGGGTCTGAGACTGCTGAGAGGACATGGCAGGCAGACGTCCTTTCTTGGGACAGTGATACTTCCAATGGCCCTTCTGATGACAAAAAGCACACTCATCTGAAGCCAGCAGCCTATTTCTAAGCCTAACAATCTGATTATCTGACATTGTAATAAACCAAAACAAAATAGAAGAGAACTGATGGGCAAGGTATAATAAACAGAAGGATGCTGGGGTCAATCTGTAATAAACCTAAAACCGGGTGTATTAAACCAAACTGATAACCAGAATCAGAGAGGTAGTGAGGAGAAGTAGGAATGGCAACGGGGCGGGGCGGGGCGGGGCCGGGGATCACCCTCCCCGTCCCCGATCCCCGAAGCTGCAAAACTCCCCGTCCCCGATCCCCGGCGGGGAACCCATCACTCCCCCCACCCCCGCCTCCTAACGGGGATCGGGTTTCCCCAACCCCGGAAAATCCCCGTAACTCTCTCTCTCTTTCTCTGTTTTTAGCTCTCTCTCAATAATAAATCATCAACGACAAAAATTTCATCAACAACAACATTATCAACAACAAAATCATTTTCATTAACAACATCATCACAAAAAAAAAAAAAAGAAGAAACAGAGTCGGAGAGACACACACACACATATACACACATACATGAGATCTGAGATATGAGAAAAAGGATATTGGCTCGGCGGTGGCGGTGGCAGTGGCCAGATCTGCTTAGATCTGCTGTGGCGGAGGGAGGAGGAGGCGGTGAGAGGCCACGGAGGAGGAGGAGGAGGCGATGAGAGGCCATGAAAGAGGAGGAAGAAGCGACGGAGGAGGAGGTGGCGAGAGGCGATCCGGCTGCGGAGGAGGAGACGACGAAGCCATCGCCGACTGCGGAGAAGGAGACTACGACGCCGTCGCCGACTACGCCATCGGAGGAGGAGGAGACGAAGAGAAAAGAGAGTGAGAGAGAGAGAGACAGATCAGACGGGAGAGTGAGAGAGATATATTAGAGGGGAGAGTGAGAAGAGAGAGAGAGATAAAATGAAAGACAGATCAGGGGCATTAGAATTAGTAAAGGGACTTTATATGTATATATATGAATGAATGAATGGAGGGTATAACAGTAATTTTATTTCGGGGAGAACACGGGGTTGGGGTCGGGCCGGGTCCGAGGCTGTCAAAGCTATCCCCGTCCCCGGCCCGGAACTGTTTGGGGATTCAATTTCAAATACCATCCCCGGCCCGTGGGGGGTATTTTTCGGGAAAAAATCACTCTTATCGGGGACGGGGGGTCGGGTCCCCGTCGGGCCGGGTTTAAATTGCCATCCCTAAGAAGATGACCACTGAACACATCCGAAGTCAAAATAGAAGTCGAGCAAATCAAAAGCAGATTCGATCACCAAAGTCCAAGTAAAGAGAGAGAGATGGTCCTCGCGAGTTGAAGTGAGAGAGAGAACCAGAGAGGTCAATAGTGACGAAGGCGAAATCTGAAGCCCTACGGAACTGAATAGACGACGACCAGATGGGTTAACAAGAGACGGAGATGAGCAAGAGAACTAGTGAACCAGAGAGAGATGAACCAGAAGTCTTCGAACAAGAGAAGCGGCGACAGAGAATAATTACGTCAAAATAATTACGTCACAGAGGAGTCGACCTAGAGAGAGGCAAAGCCGACAAATCTGGAATAACGAAGAAGAATCTGAGAGTGAACGGCACTAGGGTTTCAAACCTAGCTCTGATACCATGTAAGATTTCTGAAAGTTTTCTATATATTCAATTGTGTAATAATACAAAGAATACATCTGATAATATAGTAAACCTAACCCCAAGACTAAAGAAAACATTGTCATATATATATACACCTAAAGCACTGCCATATATATAAACCTAACCTAAAGGAAACACTGCCATATATATACACCTATACAGTCTTTCAGGAAAAAAAAAACACTGCCTAACCTAATATTCTCACAGTCGAGTTGGGAGGCGGTGGAAGGCTTGGGCCATGGCCCTGTTGTGCTTAATGTGGATGGTTTGGTTGGGACGGAATCGCCATATTTTTTAGGAGGTGGCTCAATCTGTCTCGCGGTTAGAGAATAGGTTTTTTACAGTTTTGTATAGTTGGGTTACAAGGAGGGTGGATCTAAATTTGTTTGTTTTTTTGATTTCTTGAATGATTTGATTGGTTATGCTGTCTTTCCCTTTTTTAGGGCTCTTTTTTGTATTTTTTGCATCATCTTGATGCTATGAGCAATAAACTTTATTTTTTTAAAAAAAGTGATCTTTTTATTATTTTGAATTAGTATAAAAAATTTTAATTTTAATTGTTTGTGGATGTAATATTAGTCTACATATATATAATTAATTTTTATTCTCATGTCTCGCCGTGTCTATGTCCTCATTTTTTTGAAATCACTGTATCTCATGTCCGTGTCCTTGCTTCTTAACATATACCCTAGCATTGACTTGTCTACTAATAAATGGTTTGTTTATAGACAATTCTTTTTGATGAATTCTCTTTCTTTTTCCTTCTTTTTCTTCTTGTGTTTCTTCCCCTAACTTTTCTCCTTCTTCTACTGAATGGCTACACACTACCTTTCATCCTTGGTTCTTCTTCTTTCTCTATCCCTACCATGTGATGCACATAGCCACATGTATATTGTATTTTTCGATTTTATCTTATCTATCGGAAGTCTAGTTCAACGTCACAAACTTGTTTGTCTTCGTACCATAGAGCTCTTAACAATATTTATGCTATGAAATAGAACTGTGACTTAGACCTATACCAAGGTTTCAGACATAAAGGAAATAGCATCTTTATCTAAATTCCGTCTATTAACCAATTTTACAAAATTTTGTTTAAGATAATTGAACATTGGGTATATTTTTATTTTTTAATAACCGAGTGTCCAAGCCAACTTACGCACACCTCAACTAATCCCGAGACCCACGCAAAACGCCCCCCTCCACGTAGATCGGGCAAATCTCGAGTAGAACCCGCGGGCGTAGCCCCAAGGAATTGATAGCACCAAGTGGAAGTTGAACCTAACACCTGGAAGGAAGCACACCCCCAAGCTACACCCACTAGGCCAAACCCTTGGGGTTAACATTGGGTACATTTAACATGCATTTCTCAATTCCATTCCTTTAAAATTCACATGAGGTAAATACAAAGAACCCTAGAAAGAAGAAGATTAGAGACTTCTGCGTACTCAGCTTACCATAGAGAAAAAGTTGAAGGCTTGAGAATATATATCCTAGCATTGACTTATCTACTAATAAACATAATGTTTCTAGACATTTCATTTTTATGAATCTCGTTTACTTTTCCTTCCTTTTCTTCTTGAGTTTTTTCCCCTCACTCTTCTTCTTCTACTGAATGGCTATCTCTTCCTCTTTAAAGATCTTACGGACTCCCTTTCACCTCGATCTTCCTCCTTTCTCTATCCCTGCCATGTGGCCCCTATAGTTGTATTGTATCTAGGGTTAAATTCATTTTACCTCCTTGTGGTTTGAGGCCAGAGCACTTGACCCTTTTGTCATTCAAATATAGCCAGAAAGCCCTCATATGGTTTTGAATTAAAGTGCAACCGTTAACACCATTAACTATAAATGTAAAATGACTATAATACCCTCAAACCCTATATTTTTTTGTCATTTTCTTTCTCTCTTTTCTCTAATACACATAATTTGTAATGTCTAACATTAATTTAATTAAATCACAATTAATTATAAATTCTTGATTATTTATTGTAATTCTTAACTTTTTATTCTAATTTTACTTTAATTATATTTTTTATCATAATTAATCCTAAATATTTAATTATTTATTATAATTCCTAACATGTTAATCTAATTTTAATTTAATTATATTCTAGTTCAATTCTTAATTATTATTTATTTTATATTTTATTTAATTATATTTTAAATCAATTATTCATTATATTTTATATTTTAGATCAATTCTTAATAATATTTTAATTTATTTAATTTTAATTAATTAATCTAATTTTAAATTTGGAGAAAATGGAGGTATTTTTTTTTTATTTGGTATTAATTTCACTTTAATTTTTCAGAAAACCAAACCCACTCTACACCTTCCGTTAGTTTGGATAGGAAAACTAACAGTAGCACTTTAGGTCAAAACCACATGCGGGTTTTCTATCTATATTTGAACCATAGGAAGGTCTCCAAGCCCCAACCACAAGGGGGTAAAATGAATTGAACCCTTGTATTTATCTATATCTACATATATTACCTGCTTATTTAATTAATTATTTATCTAATTAGTTATGGGTGATAATTGTGATACTTGCCCAATTCCTTAAAGACTCTAATGTGTGACCCTAACCAAGCAGTTATATAGCCTACAATATCATTCATCAAGTCAGGCATTATAGTCTTACATTGGTTAGAAGACGCTTATCTCTAGAGTAAGTGTGTATGAGAAAAACAAAGTACAATTATTGAGAGGAATTCAAGAAGGATCTTTATTCAAAAATCAACAATAATTATATATAGAACCCACATTGCAAATGCACTCACAAATTACAAATTGAACTATTAGCATACCAAAAAAATTAAAATAAAAATGAATCTCCTATATTCTACAGCTTGAAGATCGCGATTGATTAAACCTCTACACCAAATCAATTAAACAAAAACTGCACAACATAACCCTAAAATCTCAGAGTTTTAAAAAATCGGACACACACAGATATGGTTTGAGTAGAGAAAGAGATGTGAAGTAAAAAGTACCGTTGAATGTAGTATCATCGCTTGAGCATGAAAAGATAGAGAGCAAGACTGAGAAAGAGAAAATGAGAAGAAGAGGAGCCACAGAAGAGCTCATCGCGAAGGGGAAGAAAGAACGCGCCAGGCGCGCTTTGGATTTTGATGGGCCTTGTTGATGATTTTGGTTTTTAATTTTGGAAAACCACATGCATCAGGTGGGGGAGAGAAAAAAAAAATTACCAATATATATGGATCGGGTACAAATTACACACTTCATAATCTTTTATTTGCACTCATTATAGATACATTTGTCCATCATGTATTTGTAATTTTTTTTTTCAACTTCTTATATTTAGCCCTCATTTGGTACGTGCTTATTTTAGTTTAAATATTAAAAAAATTAAAAAGCCTATAACATATACTAAAAATTCAAGTATATTTGGTTTGAGTTTTTTAAATTACGTTTTTTGAAAATTGAGTTTTTTTTTTTTGTATTTTTTTTTTTTTAGTGAATTTTTTTTAAATTTTAAACATTTTTTTTTTTCTTTTTTAAATTCCCC